TAGTTGGTGAAACAAGGACATTGCCCCAATGGAGGTCACGGTGTTCAAATTCCAAAACCTGCTCTGCAACCGCTAGTGCATACACAGTCTGAGGGGTCAAAAGAGACGATGACAGAACAGGATACTTTATCTCTCTCTCTCACGCACTCATACACACAGAAAACTTAGTTATACCATACAGAATATTTTTCTGAATTCACTTCCAATTCATACCAATCTCGACACATCACGGAAGGAGGAGAGTTTTCTATCTCTGTGGCTTACTTACCTTAATAACTTCTTTTTCCACACCTCAATCCTCCACCCCAAATTACTTTATTTTTGTTCAGTTGTGTGACATCTGAACTTGAGTAATGCAGGTGAGTTATTTATTTAAAGTATTTATAATACAAGAAAATATCCCACACATAAACAATACAATTATTATCCCAAGTTATGTCAAACTGTACTTAGGTTTTCTTCTGTGTGGTATACCTGAAGTTATCACTTCCAGCCATTCTTAAACCTGTATATAAACATAAGTCTGAATGTGAACATGTAATTTCCAATTTACGATAAAGTATCATGCAGACTTATTAATAGAAACATCTTCCACTTTACCAACACAACTCAGAGTCATTACCACGTTCCATAAACAGAAAATAATACCATTACCAACAACAAAACAACTTCCAAATAATAATATAATATTGTGGAATACATACAGTACCTGTGATCATGAGTAACTGCAAAAAAATGCCAAATTAAGGTATAATACAGGATGAACATAAATTAAATAAAAACTAAATGGTTGACAAATAAAGACAATAATTTCACAAACCAACAGCTTTTAATTACACTCCGCCACATTAGAAAGATATAATACATTCAGGCTTCATGAGGCCATGATCAGTTTCGTCATTCAGTGCTTCACATTTGGTTAAAATGCATCTCTACAGCGTCGTAAGTACTGATATTTAAAAGAATGATAGTTAACCGAATATAAACATTCAGAAGTATCAAGTCAAAATACTAGTTGAAATAACCGTACCTTGTTAAAATTTGTTAAAACTAGGCATAATTAACAAAGTTGGAAGAAAGAAAAATAAACTAAAAGACATTTTAATAAGCCCATTGTTCCTAATGCTTATGGTGGTTAATAATAAAGATGACGATAACAGATTATAAATAAATAAAATACAGGAGAGAAAGGAATTAAAAACAAACATGAAAACCTGCCATGACAGCAGCAGAATTCAAATCAAATGTCATTATAAGAACCAAACATTCTATACAGCTGAAACAGGTGAAAGACAATCTTCTTTTGATGGATGAGTGTCAATCTAGTCATGACAGAATATTTCACATGCACTAGAATCCACTCATCAACCACAAGAAGGAAGAATTATGATGCTATATATATATATTGCATGCCCCAAGGTATCATCCTTTTCTGCAAACATAACTTCTTTTTGGTGTTCACTTCTCACGGCACTAATCACATATCAGTTGTATTTATGTAACTGCTATGTACAATACCACATCAACCAATTTTCATGGTATGGTGTATGCGACAGCTTCCAAATATGCTGATTAGATGCAAAATATCGAATCAGTCCTAGAGTTCTACGAGTGTTACTTATGATCCAGAAGTGGTTTGCCATTGCCTTCTTCTGTGTGTGAATGGAGTAATTGTTGGGATGCCACGGAGAAACCGGGGAAGCCCCCCGGCGGAAAACTCCGTGTTGCCTAGACCACAGCCTTGCCCAACACAAGTTATAAATCTGAGCACCTAAGGGAATTGAAAACCCAAGACTGTTACTTGCAGATGTAATAAGAATAAATAATATGACCAAGGTAAAATGGAAGTGAAAAGTATATTTACATTACTGTCATTCATTTCAGCGCAAATTTTCAAGTGCAGCATGTAGTTATAACAGCCAATAACAAAAGCTTCATTGTAAACACCATCTTGTCTTCAGAGGCTGGTAACTGTTACCCGTACCAGCTTCAAAATCCTCCTTTTTTGTGCAACCTCTTGGTCATCCTTTCACTCTTCTTAACAGATTTATAATTACATTATTTTCTATCACCTAGCTTCTTCACTCATCATATCCATATTTTCTTTCAGACTCTTCAACCATTTACATTTCAAATGTATATCAATATTATTTTAGTTTCATATAATCATGTTCAAAGATATGCTGTCAATATTGTAATTATATGTAAGCTAGGCTTGTTGGACAGGTTCAAGCTTAGAAGACACACAAAGTGTGTCCCAGGAAAGTTTGAAGCTCTTAAAGGAAGTGACTCCACTTCCAAATAAGATGCAGAAGATGGGCAACCTACCACGGAGAAAGTCTATCTACAAAAGACGAACAACCAGACAATTTCATTATAAACAAAATGGAGCAAAATTACATATAATGCAGCATAGCAGTACCTGAATAAAGACTGAGTACGACTGATCTGCATTTGTTAATAAGTGTGCCTCTAAGTCACATCCTCCATCAGCCAGGACCAAGATAATGTATAATTGATCTTCCTTGAACATTGTCGGAGAATCATTCTCAGAGCCTGCATACATAAACAAACAAACAAGAATCCTAAGGGTTAGGTTAAGTCACGTGAACTGGCCAGAATTGCAGCTTATTTAAGATGTCCATCATCAGCCAGAAGGTACTTCATGTGCTTCTTGGCTGACATAATCACATGGCCAGCTGGCTATTAGAGGTGATAAAAATGTCCCACAACCCATATTAAAATATTCATTGATGGTTACAATTAAGTACAAGTTTATTGGATAAATAAATACAACACTGTTGTAACTATACAAGAGCCCATACAGGTCACATCATATTGTAACCAGCTTATGCCAGCTTGTCATTTGTCTTCAAATAGTTAAAGAGCGAGGATGACTTTTTTTGCAAGCGCAATGAGCGATCAGTCAATGGTGTACCTTCGGCAGTCTAACAGAATGTGTCTGACAGTAATTTGAACATTACAAGAGGCACACATAAGGGGTGTGTTTGTTGGCAGAGAGCAAATGGCTGTCTGCGCGACAGGTGTGGCCAACACTAAGATGAGTCACCACAACCTCATCATGGTGGACACAGTGACAAGACAACCTCCATGAGATTATAAAGATTTTTGTTTCCAATAAATATGATACATAAGCTCATTGCAACTTACCTTTGATATCATCATATTCTTTCCACAGATCAATAAGTTCTTCAGGGTAAGTTCCTTGAGCACAAAGGCAACATTTCACTTCACAGAAACTGTATGTTCTGTTTTCTGAACCATTACGCAGACTGCTAAGTTCCCTGCAAAGTGTAAGATGACAGAAGCATTCAACAAAGTAAGAATTAACAGAACTCCATGGAGAAGTCCTTCTTGAGAAGTTTACCTATTCAAGAAGTTGCCTGCTTTTTATGGAATCAAAATATTCTTACCATGTTAATAAGAATTGGCAAATCTCCACACAATCCTTTGCCCAAATGACCATAGAAAAGAAATTTCCCCCAAAGAAGCTCACCTACTAATAAGGCAAAGCCCCAGAGAAGATGTGCTGTTTGCACTAAATCTGGTGTTCAGAGAGATTGTTTCCTGATTGTAAGGGCAAGTTATGTGTATTACTAACTTCAGGAATTAAATTAAGTTACCAGATCTGACTTAGTTAAACAGTCTGTGTTAAGTAACTAACTAAAATCTGATTTTAATGACAGGTTTCTGGTTAAATAAATTAAATTATCTTGTACAAAGTCTAATTCTTCTTTCATCAAGCCAAATTTGGTAATTATAATAAATAAACATGGTGCCACTATTAAAATATCAGTGTTAAGTTCCATGCTTATACTAACAATGAGATTATCACAACTTAAGTAGCAACAAGAGTATGACAATTTTGTGACAATCAACAGAAACATTTTGTCAAATCAGACAACAATTAGGATAACTTACATGGCAATTACAATTTCTGACAGGATCTCCTCAAACTTCTTCTGTGGCTCCCCATTAACACAGGCTTCACCCTCGATAGGGATTACTTTGAGGACAGACCTATCCTGTCCCTCTGACATGAACACTTCACCATACACACCTTCACCAATTTTCTTACATGTCAACCAATAGCTGAAACAACAATTATTTGAATGTACCAGTGGTACCAATGAAAACCTGTTAACATCTGCTCATCTCCAGGCATTCTACTGATGTCATAAAACATTCACGTTAAAGGTAGTAACTAACAATAAGAACTTGCTTACTACATGGAGCAGAGTCCTTCCTGAGAAGCCAACAGTCACTCAAGAAATTCCTAACATTTTATGGAACCCGAAGGTTCATTACAGCGTTCACAACAGCCTGTCACTGGTCCCTATCCTATGCCAGATGAATCCAGTCCTTACCACCCCACCCTATTTGTCAGATCCTTTTTAACATTAACCTCCTACCTACATCTAGGTCTTCCTAGTGGTTTGCCCACCAAAAACCCTGTATACATCCTTCTTCTCACCCATGTGGGCTACACGCCCTGCCCATCTCATCCTCCTTGACTTGATAAGTCTAATTACATTTGGTAAATGCCATACATTGTACCTTCTGAATGGTAGCGGTGGTGGTTGCAGGAGGAAAAATTATTTCTAAAAAGCTATAGTCTCAGAAAAATTCTAAAAGTTTCCAACTTCAAAACTTAACATTAATATGCTTATATCTTACAAAATGCATTTAGTAACAGAAAAATGTATAACTGCTTGTAATTTCTACCTTGATGAAAAGGCTTCTGAAAATGAAATGGGAGCAAGCTGACAGCATCGTTGTAACACAGCATCTCGTGCAGTAAAGGCATAAGGCATACAGCCAAAAGGTTCCTCAACAATGCTGAGCAGTCTAAATTCTTCAGCCACATTGGGAACAGAAACTATAACAATCATCCAACTGCTTCAATATTTTTAAACACAGCAAAATAAATACAAAAAATTAAGAACTACATTCTCCTAGCATATTACTACAATGACAGCATGCACTATCTGTTTCTTGATAACATTTTTTAAAACTTGTTAATAAAATAGATAATAAACCAAAAACAGGTCAGCCTAAACGGACATCAATGGATAATGGACAAAGTGGAGCACAGCGTATGTTACACATTCTAAGAGAACCACTCTTGGGCAGCTCTAACGCTTGAAATTATATTGTGATGCAATGTGTATAACAATATCTCATAACATTAAAACACACACAAAACAAATTTATCAGCAAGGGCATGTCCTATATAACACCGGCCACAGTATTTTATTTAAATTTTAATTTTTGAATAACTGATTTTATATTGTAATATGTTAATTTTACTACCTAGGACAACCATCAAATATCTTGTTTTTAGCTTGTTAAACTAATGTAGCACACACTGATCACTAACAATGCTCTTTCAGGCTAAAATTCGTCTGACTTTTAATGTTCTTTAATAATAACCAGCTGGTACATGAAGGAGTGGAAATAAATAATCAGCCATTGATCAATAAACCATCAAAATGGGTCAGGATATAATTACTTAAAGTTAATGATACAATCTTGAAATATGTACAGTTGAGATAACTGCCAGCAAAGTGACTCACTGTAGGATACAACCAGGGCTGAAATGAGAGGAAGAGGCAGGATTTTTCCCTTCACAGCCTCTTCCAGACTGGTTTCAGGGCCCAGCCAGCCTATCTGATAATCTCTCCGTGGTAAGAGAATAAAACTCATCGTACATCTCAATTTAGTGCTGGGGTTAAAAATGTGTGGAGTTTTGCCCCCAATTTCCTACACTTACACCCACAGACACATGTATGTACACACATGTGCAATTTTAACTTCATCCGTATTCCAAATATGTTGCCATACATTTTAAAGGGATCTACTGCTATAATTCTAAAATATTTAAATTAAAAAAACTCCATAAATTATTTTTCCTTAATTAAAATACATGAAATCTGTTGTAAAACTTGAAGAAATTTACCAGTTACTTCACTCCTGCATTTGTTGGGAGATTTGCAAGGAGAAATATTATACACATCTCGGTAACTTGGTGACTTTAGTTGAGGTTCAAAAAGCATCTGACCTAGCACAACTTGATGTGACAGTCTTCTAGATAAACGTAACCCCGACGGCTTCTGCTTCTTTACAGTTATTGTAGAAATGGATTGCTTCTCTGTGAAAAATCACCAAAGTAATTACGTCTACATAACAATAAATATTAATTATATCATCATGACGTAACAATTAGTTTCTTAGGTAACATAAGAATGCATGCAGTTCATATAAAAGCTGACCATTGTTGATATGGATCTTACACATCTTCGTTATGCTACTTCTTAGTAACGCTGTTTATGCCGAAAGACCCTTCCGTATAGACGTATTTATGTCAAAAGTGATTAAATTATATAATCTTTGTCAAGCGGCTCAGGATAGATTTTGTTGGTGGGAAGCACTTGAAAACATAGGAACAAACCTTTTGGTTCTATAAAAGGTAGAGTATTTTGACAAGCTGAGTGCATTATCAGCAACTCCATGAAGTTAATTCATTGAACACTATAAACCTTAACCCAATATTATGTTTCATGGCTTTCAATACTAGACCTGTCACGCCACAATAACACTTTATGCAGACAACATATTTAAACAACATTATACAAGACAGAGACTTCAAAATTGGAGGAAGAGTGATAACGACTGTAAAGTATGCAGACAACGTAGTAGTATTGGCGAAGGAAGAGGAGGAATTACAGAACATGATGGACAAGTTAGTGGAAACAGGTAGAGAGTATGGAATGGAAATCAACATTGAAAAATCAAAGGTAATGAGGATAGCACCGAGAGCAGAACCATTGAACGTTGTAATTGGAAACCAACAGCTGGAGAATGTGGAGCACTTCAAGTACTTGGGAAGCATAATCACGACGGATGATCTACGCACCAAGGAGGTAAAAGCAAGGATAGCCATGGCCAAGGCAGCTTTCGTCAAGAAGAGGATACTTCTCACTAGGAAGTTGGGCTTGGAGATGAAGAAGAAACTAGTGAAGTGTTACGTATGGAGTGTCGCGCTGTATGGAGCAGAGACTTGGACACTCAGGAAGAAGGAACAGAAATACCTGGAGAGTTTCGAAATGTGGTGTTGGAGAAGAATAGAGAAGATCAGGTGGACGGATCGAGTGACCAACGAAGAAGTATTGAGGAGAGTCAACGAGCAAAGAAACATTCTGCAGGCGATTACACGAAGGAAAGCTAACTGGCAGGGACAAATAAAAAACAAAAAACAAGATAGCTCTCTTCTGGGTTGCAGCGACCATCCTGATCATGTATGCAACAAGGACCTCTGAAACGCTGGTAAACTTCTACAAGACTACACAGAGCTACAACCCTGAAGACAGTCATCTTCAGACTCACAACCATGAAAACCTCAAATCCTATTTAACAATATATAAATTTAAGAACTTAGTGAAAAGTAAACATTACAAGTGCTAAGCAGAATTTACTGCATGACAAAACAAAGATTTTTTATGGTAAGTAAATCAGAGTTTCTGACAAATTTGGCTCTCATCACTAACATTATTTATTATATGTATTTAAAGTGTCTTATCCTGTACTGTTTTTTCCTGACAGCTAAGTACACAAAAATCTTATAATTTAAGATAAAGGTGACATATTCTGAAGGGAATTTATGCCCATATGTACCTAGATCACTGACTGCAATTAAATTAAACACCAAATGATCTGGGTCATCCTGAATAACCATGCAAGTACAAACAAAATCAGAACATGCTTGTGCAATCATTAATGAATTTTGAAAACAGATAAATTTATATCCACACTCACCTGTGCCAATATTTAGGGTAGAAGATTCTTGCAAAAGATTCTTTTTGGAAGCATCACTGCATAATACTTCTTTTCTGTTAGTTTTGTGTACTGTAGATTCCTCAGTATGATAACTTCTTCTATCAGTAACATGCAATTCATCAGTGTCTACTGAAGATTCTCGCAAATGAATTTCGGAAACACTGTTGCATAATAATTCTTTGTATGTACTGTGCACTGCATATTCATGAGTAGAATGGCTTCTTTGATCATTAATACACAACTTACCCATGTCTACTGAAGACTCATGCAAACAATGGCTTCTGGTAACAGCATCGCACAAAATCTCCTCCTTCTCTTTATTGTTCACCGCAGACTCATGAGTACAAAAGCTTCTATTCAATTTGTCAGTGTCTTCTGAAAAATGGTCTTTTGAAATATCACTGTATGATTTCTCTTTCTCAGTATTAAGCACTACAGATTCAAGAGTAGAACAGCCTCTTGGATCACTAATATGTGACTGGTTAGCGCACACTAAAGATTCTTGTAAAATATTGCTTCTGGTAACATCATTGCATAACAATTGTCCTTTGTCTGCAATATCCACTGCAGATTCTTGAGGACAGCTCCTTGGATAACAAATATGTGATTTTCCTGTGTCCACAGAAAAGTCTTGTAATGGGTGTCTTTTGGAAACATCATTGCATAATGACTCTTCAGCATGTTTACTGAACACAGAAGATTTTTGAGCTGGGCAAGATCTTGAATCATTAATGTGTAATGATTTATCTGCATCGCTACTTGACAAAATGGGTTTCAATGAAAGATAATTATGCACTGACCCTTCTTTACTATTTTGTACTGCAGAATCCTGGGCATTACATCCTGTGTTATCCAAGTACATGGAGGTCTGTACATGACTACGCATTATCCCAGACTTCAAAACCTGAATTTGACTGTATGCTGTTGTAGCTGTATTTTCCAAAGGACTTTGGAATATGGGTTCAGACTTACTACAATTTATAGATTCCCATGAATCAAAAAGTATCACTGATTTACTTTCTGATTCTGGTGAAGAAATATTTAGGTTACCTTTGCATCTCTCTGTAACTTCATGAATGTCTGCACACTGATGATTATCTGTATTGAAAGGGTAAGGATTCTCACATAAATCTTGTGCTGGATGTACGTCTGGAAAACCCAAAAAGTCGTCTGCAGCACTGTCAACACTTCTAGACAAGAATCTTTCCTTGCCCACCGACTGTCTATTCTTTTCCTTTATAAAATTAACACTCATACACTGGGAAACTACTTTGCAAACACATGGTTCTGAAAGCGATATTGCATCTTTCTTTTCTTTAATTATTTCATCGCTGGTTTCCTGTACACTGTCAATATTATGTAAAATGGGAGATAAATGTGGAGGTGACTGATTTTTTTTCTTGCATTTTATTCCCTTTGGAGTACTGGTAACACATGAGTTCATATCCAATGTCTCCTTCTCTTTCTGTTTCTTACAGTTTCTGAGTTGCAGTGGAACATTAACTTTAGCAGCAGAATTGTCAGGTATTTTGCTTCTCAATGATGATTTTGTGTCTTTTCTACTTTTCCCTGTAATGACAAATATAAATTGCTTACGCTGCATGTAAATAACAAACAAATGAAGACTACAATAATTTAAAGCATTACATACATGTTGAAGGGAATAATGTATTATTATATGATGGCTCAGACACAGAACTCTTGATATCAAAATGATTCCCTGATATGCTGGTGCTACTGTTGCCGAGATATTTGCTTTCATGACTGATATTTGGAGCCTTTGGCTGTTGAAACCTGTGTGAAAGAGAATATATAATATAGTATACTAAAATGGAGCAACCTTTTCCACACCTAGTATCACATCTGCCCTTTCAAATCAACCAATGTGCCACAAGGTAAAAATAAGGGAAATTTTTCATCAAAACTACACATACCAACAGAAAATTAGTAACTTCCTTAACATGTGTTTCAACGTCATATTAGAACATGCCACCAAATTGACAGAATAAACCAAATCTGATTGCAATGCAGTTTAAACTCAACACAGAAAGATTTCTTGGTTTCTTTTAACTGGTGCAACCCTTTCCTGAAACAAATGAAGCATTTGTTTCCATGTAGAATGACCTATTGTGACAAGGTTATGTATTTAAACTAAGTATTAAAATTGTCTGATCTAAATGAAAATGGAAACAACTCAACAATTCTTCATAAAATTTTCATATGTAGTCCTTAGGTCCTTGTTCAGCACATAGCAATTAAATAATTCAGGGATCGAAGCCAATTCATCCAGCCCATAGCGAGTCACTATACTGACTGAGCTATATATATAAAATGTTAGGCAACTGTTAGGATGTAAATGAACAAAACAGAAACCATACAAATTTTCTGAAATTCAGCTACACTGGAAGCACATTCTATGTATCACAGGGATGCAATTATAAGATCTACCAATTCTACATTTTTAGGTTAAATACAAAGCATGATATAAATTCATTCAATATAAACCATACATTGCAAGAAAAAATATATTACAACTTACACAGGGCCTGCTAAGATTCGGTCAAATGTAGAATCAAGAAACGTATCATGTCCTGAAAGTGTCAACTTCACAAGGTCATATTTTGAATGTATTTTCATTTTATGCTGTACTTTCTCTGCATTCTTATTCTCTTTGTTTCCATAATCTTTCCTAGCCTTTTTGTGAATTTTAATGTTCTTGGTGAACAATGCATCAAAGATGGCAGCTGACTCCTTCTCCCCTTTGATTTTAATTTCTGGCAAAACATTTTGGATATTGGCCCAAGGTCGTTTTTTGTTTCTCTTGCCCTTGTATGTTCTTGTCGTGGCAATTGGAGCCATTTACACTGAATCTAAAACAAGAAAAAAAAATCCATAGGGCAATGTGCTGAAGTACTGAAATGAAAACAACAATTCACATGTAAAAGTTCAATTAATTGAATTCCCAACAGAATAATATGTTGCAACCATCACCCTCCACTTCGGACCCCAAAAAATTTGTACTAAATCTTTGAAAAAATATCCTTACTGAATGAAAGAAGGCAATTCTTGAAATATGTTTTTTTTAAACCACAATCTAATTGTAATATGGTATGTAGTGCAGAATCCATAGCTTCTAAATTTCCACTGCCTTTGGGTATGGAGTTTGGATGCAAAATTGAATTATCTTCAAAAATCTAATTCTACGGTACTCAACTTAACTGGAAATGAAATTCTGTTCCCAATTCTTAGTAATATTTCCGTAAGTATTTTGAAGAAGTAACTCTGGATATTTCATAACACAAACCATTGGTGTGGTTTTGGTATGTGGATGACACTTTGTAGTCTGGCCTGGACAAATTAAATGACTCATCCACATAAACAGTTTAAAACCCTTGACTCATTCTAATAAGGTCATAGAATCAAACTATGCAATTTCCTTATCGGATGTTTGGGTTGCTAGAAAGGAAAGGGCTTACAGTATCATCTGTAAATACAGTCAGTGCAAAGACAGGTCATTAGTATACATATAACAGAGCAGTGGACAAAGAATAAG